TAGCTGGTCCTCCCCCTTCCCTTCCTTTTTTTCTCTCCTTATATTGCGTATTGCCTCTTTTCATTTCTGTCACTCATTTAATCGTTCTCTATATTTACAATCTCATGATGTAAGGTTGTGCAGGAGCCTTCTGCTCCTGCTCGGCTGACTCTTTTAGTAAACCCTATTTCCTCCCCTCGTTTGATCTTATATATTTACTCACCATGTATTATCTCAACTATTCTACTCCTCCTAGTTATAAATGATTTTCAAATTTCGTGCGTCCTGTCATGTTATCGCTTCTGTATAATAGATTTCTATAAAGAAATATTGTCCCATCCCGGAGCGAATGGTCTAGAAATTAGGATTTGGCTGTACTAGCATTTTTTAATTAGTAGTAATGCCAAATCCCCATTTTATCATACTATCTGGGACAAGGCATTATTTTATTACAGAAATATCGCACTCCTTTAGACCAAGTACTGCTACAGAATAAAGCGATTTGTTTCCTAAAGAATCCGATCTGATGTCCGATGCAAGGATTGGTATCAGACAGATCGCTCAAACTGAAGAAAAAAACGTTCACTTTCTTAATCGTTATTTTGAAGGTATCTTGCCGCGGCTGCCAACTTTTTCGAAAGAGCTACTTCCAGTGGGCTCGATGACGAGTTGCGACAGACGTTTATTTGAACAGTGCGAAGACGTGTATAGCTAGCTTTTTTTAAACAGATACAACAGCATCTCATTTAAGCCGACAATGCATATTCAGTTCTTATTCCGTCAAATGCGTCAACGTAGTCAACATTACCTTTTCCTGTTTTCCAAAAGAGATGTGAGCATACATATACGCGATACGTGGCACTAAATTCTAGTCAAGCACGTTATAATCAAGATTGGTAGGCGTATTTAATTGCTGAATGGATTCAAAGGCAGTCGGCAAAGTGCTATTTTAAACTCACAAGAAAACTGTATTAGTGTCACTGGGGAAGACGTGCAGGAGGTTCCAAAGACATGCCGCCTATCCCCGGAGGTGACAATTAAAGGTGCGAGCCATCTCGGTTGGATCTGGCAACTTTCCAAATTGGCTTATATCAATCTGTACCACAATCACAACTACGCTTGAGTATGAAAGTTAAAGTGACCAAGAAATGGGAAAGAAACAAGTGGAAAACTGGACAGAAATTTGCTTAATAAAATTCAACACTGTTGCTA